ATTTGGTAATAACATAGCTTAAATCTGGTCTTGTACATGTCATTGCGTAAAGAAGACTTCCAACCATTTGTCGGTATAACTTTATCTCTGAATCATTCGATTTTATAGATTCTTGATTATGGTATGAATAAGGAACTTGCTCACATGGGGTAGATCTTGGTTTGCAATTGTCAAAACCGAATTTTTGTAGAACATTCTGCAAGTAATCTGATTGATTCATAGTGACACAATTACTAGTTGATTTGAATTGAATACCAAGAAATGAAGTTAATGGTCCCAAATCTTTCATTTTAAATCGTTTACTTAATTTCTTCTTAATTTTAATTAATAGTTCGTTTGAGTTGGCAGCTATAATTATGTCATCAACCCATACTAGAATCATTGCTACTTCAGTATTGCTTCTTCTAACAAAAACGCAATTATCAGCATTTGATTGAATAAATTGTATTTCCTTGAGAAAGTCACTTAAAACATTCTGCCAATTTCTACCACTTTGTTTTAAACCATAAAGTGATTTATTTAATTTCCATACTAATTGTTTGTTATTGTGGGTTTTTTCATACCCAGGAGGTTGGTTGACATAAATTTCATGTTCTATAGGTGCATGTAGATAAGCACTTTTAACATCCATTTGATGTAAAATGAGGTTATATTGGGCAGATATTTGCATTAAAATTCGGACTGATTCCATTCTAGCTGTGGGTGAAAAAGTTTCTAAATAATCAATTCCTTGAATTTGGTTGTACCCCTTTGCAACATATCTGGCTTTGTATATAATTTTATTATTGTTCCCTTTAATTGTATAGATCCATCTTCCCCCAACTACTTTTTTATTTGTTGGGAGTTCAGTAATAATAAAGGTGTCATTATTCGTTAATGATTGGATTTCTTCATCCATGGCATTTTTCCATTTATCTGACTCATCGGTGTTGATAGCATTAGTGTATGACGTAGGTATATTCATCAAATAACAATAATCTATATAGTTAATTTCATCATCATTATTATTATCAACTATGTAATCTTCCAAATATTTTGGGGGTTGTCTTTGTCTTTGAGGGTAACGTGATGAGGGAATTTCTTGAGGTATATTTTGTTTATTATTGGGAGTGGATGGCTCAGTTGTAGATTTTGTAGTTTTTGGTTCAACATTTATAAAATCATCTGTATTGTAGGTATCTATTTGGCTAACAGATTCATATTTTTCTGTAAATTTTACAAGTCTGTGTTTTAAAACTGAATTTGATTCTGGATAATAAACTAGGTATGATGGACTGTCTTTGTCATATCCAACAAAATAACCTTTAATGCTTCGTGGTTGTAATTTTTTGGTATTATGTACATATGGGTAACATACTGATCCAAATAAGTGTAATCTCGAAATGTTTGGCTTTAAACCAGTTACTAATCCATATGGTGTACTTTTAATTCGTTGTACATAGCATCGATTTCTTATATATGTTGCTGTGCTAACTGCATAAGTCCATAAATGCTTTGGAAGTTTTGATTCAATAATCATGGCTCTTGCCATGTCAAATAATGAACGCCAATTCCTTTCTGCGGTTCCATTTTGGTGTGGGGAATAAGGTGATGTAAATTCATGTTTAATGGTATGTTTTAGAAGTAATTCATTAAATTCTTTTGATAAATATTCACCTCCGTTATCACTGCGAATACATTTTACATTACCAGATGGGGAAATATCATTATAAAAACTAAATGTTTTAACCTTCCCATATGGAGCAATATCTGCTAGAAATTTTTCAGCAGCTTTTGCAGCATCACTTTTTTGTTGCAGGAAATATGTAAACAAACAACTTGAGTAATCATCAACAAAGTTTATAACATACTTAAATCCACCTATAGCTACAGGTTCTATAGGTCCGGCTAAATCAGTATGTACAAGTTGGAATGGGTAAGTTGCCCTTGTGTCAGGTTGTTGGTTACAAGTGTTAACATTTTTAGATAGAATACATGTTTCACAATCAAATTTAGCAATATTGTTGATTTTCATTCCTTGAGCTACATCTTCTAATTTTATAATATCATTGGTATTGCAATGTCCCATTATTTTGTGCCACATTTCTAAACTTTCAGTTCGTGTTTCATTTATTGAGTTTTTGTATAAATAATACAAACGACCATATTGTCGGATAGGAAACACAGTTCCCTCTTTAGATATAAGTTCAGCACTATATTTATGGAAGTTGATTCTGGCGCCTTTAGCCGTAGCTGCTTGAACAGAAAAAATGCATTGTGGGTAGGTTGGGATATATAAAGTGTTTTCAAGAGTGATAGTTACTAGTTCATCATTTTTTGTACGTAAAAGGGTTTTAACTGTTCCTCTCTTTTTAGCTATATTGTTTGTCCTGGTGCCATCAGCTAACTCTATAAAGTGTTCTTCTGGTTTAAAATATTCATCAATATAAGTGAAGTATTCATCAGTATTTACAATATGGGTAGTTGCCCCACAGTCTACCAGAAATGTTTTATTTTGCGTTTCCCTATATTGTTCTTCGTTTATTTTAAATGCATACGTGTGTTTTTGTATATTATTAACAGCTTTATCTTTATCTTTTATTTGTTTTCTGCAAGAACTGTCTTTGTGGGTATTTGATCTACAGTAATTACACCATATCTTTGATTTAGTTTTTGCTTGACATTCAGAAGATTTGTGACCAATAGTTCCACAAGTGTAACAAGTCAAAACTTTCTTTATATTACCCCCACTAGTTTTGAATTTCATTATTTTGGTATCTGATTGTTCAATATAAGTTGTTCTTGTGTATTCTGTTTCCTCAAAACTTCGTAAAGCCTGCTTAAATTTTTGGAAATTATTACTTGTTTCAGATTGGGTAATTATAGCTACAAAAGCTCTATAATCGTCAGGTAATCTTTTAAGTACCATAGCAATAAGTATTGAATCGCTAATACTTTCGCCAGCTGTATTTAATGAAGTGGCTGATTTCTCTGCTCTAATAACATAATCTGTTATAGACTCGTTGGTAAATTTTTTTAAACTTGTTAATTGGTTATATAAGGTAATAATACGAGGTTTACTTGTACTAGCGTAATGATCTTTTAGAATTTTAAAGGCTTCCCTACCTTTATCTTTAGCGTCTCTTATGATTAAAGCTATGGATCTTTCATCCAGAAATTGTATAAGTTCAGCAAACGCTATTTCATTTTCGTCTTCGTCAATTTCGCTATTTCCAATTAAAGTATCTTTTAAATTTTTTAACTTCATATATCCAAGGAATTTCGTTTCCCATATTTCGAATTTCCTACTATCTCCATCGAAAATAAGATTTTGCCACTGGTTGCTGGGACCATAACCTGTTAATATTTTGTGTTCACTCATGATGGAGGAAATAAAAGTCGATATTAGTGTTTATAAATATT